GACCCCAGAACTCCCTGAGCGCACACCACTGAAACCCCCCTTTGAGTCCTTCTGAGGCCTTCCCAGCCCTGGCGCACCAGCCCCTAGGCCAGAGGTGGGAGGCTCCTCCCTCCCAAAGCAAAACAGGGCCCCACAAAGGTGAGGGTGGGCCTGGCGGGGAATGACAGCTAGGGACGAAGCCTCTGTGGCAGCCATCAGCCCCTCTGCGTCTTGGGCTCCAGACAAGGCCCCTTCTTCATGAGTCCCCAGAAGCAAGGCATGGCTGGCCCTGAGGTCCCCGTGAGGGATGTGGAGGGGGCAGGAAGAAGCCAGGAGAAGACCCAGGGAAAGATCCTTCTTCCCGGATACTCTCACAGAGGCCGCTCGAGGCTGGGACACCAGGCTGCAGAGTCGCAGGCCACGGAGATTTCAACCTGCGGGTAACTGCGGGCTTCCCATAGAGGCCCTCCCTTAGGGAACCCCTCAACAGCAGCCATGCAGCAGAGCCACATGGGGGGCCCTCGCTGGGAGGAGTCAGAGCTCTGCTCCCTGCCTCCTCCCAGATAGAGGCCAAGGCACAAAAACCAGGTCCTGCCCACTCCTGCCATGGTGCTCTGAGTGCTCTGTGACTCAGTTTCCCCTCCTGTCACAGGGACGGAATGCTGCCCACAACTCTCTAGTTTCTGTGAGGGGCTTCATGGCACAGGGCATGGCCATGACCCCATCGGAGACCCCTCCAACTCCTGCCCCAATAGGAGCAGCCCTGCTGTCCCCACCCCAGCCAGGTCCATCATGGCAGGCTGAGGGACTCGGAAGGCCCCTCCCTTCTCTGGCCTCAAAGCCCTCCTCTGAAAAGGGGTTTGGAGGTAGCTGAGGTGCTTTCCGTGAGAAAGGCCAAGGCAGCTCCTGGGTGTTAGGGCCGGGGCTGAAGGAGGAGGCCTGCGCAGGGAAGATGGGACCTACAGGGGTGAGGGGGCCCTGCTAGGGGTCCCCACCATGAAAGTGGCTAGAGTCTGTTCTGCATGTCAATCCCCTACTCCCTATGGGGCAGTTCAGCTATGACATTCCCAGGCCCAGGCTGGGACCCCACAGGCTACACAGATGGGGGAGGAGGTGGTCTCTGGGCCTGGCCGGGCTGTCCTCACCACCCGGCGCTAGGGCTGGGCTCCATCTCTGGGTCCCAGGGAACACAGCATCCCTCAGTTCTGAGATGCCCTGGAAAATCCCCCAAGAGACCTTGTGCTCTCTTCCCAAGTCCCTCCCTGTCCTTCCCCTGCTCAGCTCAAGTCCGGGTAGGGCAGGAGGTGCCTGGGCTGTGCCCACTGGTAGTGGCTCCACTACCCACAGATGTGATTTAATCATCCCACCCCGGGCAGGGCAGGGGCAGCCCCCAAGGATCCCATAAAGATGAAACCAGTCAGGTTCAGGGATGTCTGTCTCCCTGGACCAGTGGACCAGCTAGCAACCCTGGGTCAGTTGCTAGTCCCCTTGACAGGTGAAAGGACTGAGTACTAGAGTGGCCTTGAACCCTGGTGTGATGCATTCGTTCATTCATTCATTCACTCAACAAATACCCAACAGGTTCATGCTGTGTGCCAGGCACTGTACTAGGCACTGAGGACAGCATGGCAGAAAGATGAAGGAGCCTGGACCTCTGAAACAAGTGTCTAAACACAGGTGAGGTCTGAGTGTTGGAAATAAATCAGGGTGGCTGCTGTGTGCTCACTGCTCTCATCTCAGCAGTTTGGGAGGCCAAGGCAGGAGGATTGTTTGAGGCCAGGAGTTCAACACCAGCATGGGCAACATGGCGAAACCCTGTCTCTACAGAAAATTTCAGCTTTGTGGTGGTGTGCGCCTGTGTTCCCAGCTACTTGGGAGGCTGACGTGGGAGGATCGCTTGAGCCCAGGAGGTCAAGGCTGCAGGGAGCCATGATGGTGCCACTGCACTCCAGTCTGGGCAACAAAGTGAGACCCTGTCTCTAAAAAGAAAGAAATAAATCAGGGTGAGGGGCAGAAGCCTCTCTTAAGAGGGCACAGTTAAGCAGAGATCACAGGAAGAGATACAGCCGTGTGGAGTGCAGGGGCACAGCAGCAGGGCCAGCAAATGCAAATGCCCCGTGGCCCAGAGGCTGGGCAGCTGGAGCGGAAGGGGCGATGGTGATGGGAGGTGAGGCTGGAGGAACTCCTAGGAATCAGCCCCAGCCTGTCCCAGCTTCCCAAGGGGCGAGCACGAGTCCCCACCCACTGCTCCTGCCCTCCCACAGACCAGTGCCCTTGGAGGGCTGGCCTGGCCCCATGTGCCCAGCCTGGAGGGGTCACTCCCTGCCCAACAGCCTCCCGCCTCTCCAAGTCCAAATTCCAAGCATCCCAGTGGAGACTCTGCCCCGCCCAGCCTTCCTTCCTTCCTCGTGTTCCCTGCCGCAGCCACACAGGGCCACTCAGTGTCTGCTCCCCACGCTGGAGCTCAACAGAAGGGCCACACTGGTCCCTGAGCCCAGAACACTCCTCAATACAGCCCTTGCTCTTCAGACCCAAGACTGCAGTGTTGAGGCCAGCACAGACACAGGGGCCACCAGGGGTGTGGGTCAGGGAATATTTCCTCCCCTTCCTCACATCCATTCAGGAAGACTGGTTGTTCCTGGCCACATCTGCAGAGAGAAAGATGCTGGTGTGCACTGAGTGCTTGCCACGTACACGGAGATGATGGCTTGGAGCCTCCTGCAGGTGTGGGTGACGTCCGGCTGGGCCACTAGCCAGCTGCATGCCTCCGCCCTCCCTGCAAGTTGTTGGCGGGTCATGTAGGGTGAGTGGGGCTCAGGCTGATGCTTCCACATTGGGGGTACAGCCACATTTGCAGCCAGCCCTACCTGTGCCCGAGAGGCTGCTTGGGTGTCCCATGCCCATCCTCAGCCTCACAGATTTGTCACAGGGCCTGGCCAATGCCCGTGGTCCCAGGGCTGCATTCCTGCCTGTCTCACCGTGAGGGTGTCACTGGGGTCTGCAGGTGCTGGGCCCACAGGGATAGCTTAGTGCCCAGGGGACCTGACCACTTTCAGGGGCTCTGATCACTGAGCACCAACCATATGCCCAGCCCAGAGCCTACCTGGCACCCTAAGGCTGCTTCTGAGGTCCCCAGATACAGGGGGTTGATGGTGAGGACAGAAGCGTCCTGGCCCTGAGGTGGCACACCCTCTCCTGTGGGCTCGAGTCTCCAGCAGGACAGAGACCCAGGTGCCCTTGCTCCTGACTTGCTGGTCAACAAGACAGTTCCTGTCTCAAAAATGCTACACAGTCCCCGTGCCCCAGCCCCATCCCACCAGGAGCCCAAGGGCGGCCTCCCAGGCTCCAGTCCCCGACCCCACCTCGCTTGCTGTGTGACGTGGGAAAGCCGTAGCCCTCTCTCAGCCTCAGTTTCCCTATCTGGAAAACGGAGCTATTCCGGAATCCCCTGCTGTCCCTCAACGCTGAGTGGCTCTCTGCCGCCCCCTGGTGGTGAAGAGGCCACACTGCTGTGGGTCAGGCCTTGGGACAGGAGGAGGGGGCCAAGGTCCCAGGGGGACCCACAGGTTCAGCTCTGGGACCCAGTCCAGGCTGCCCTCCACTGCGTCATGCTCCTAACACAGCAGAGGCCCGGGGACCTCTCAGAACCATCCAAGGCGCCCAATGCCCGAGGAACAAGTCCCTGCCAGCCCAGGTCCTGACAGAGCCGGGCTCCCTCCATCACCCACTCTGCCACTAACCCCCGCCCTGCCCCACCACACATCTCCAAGTTTCCAGACCATTGCCCATGCCATGTACACCCTGCCTGTCCAAGGGACCCTAACTCCTCAACACCCAGGTGAGATCCCCCACCCCCTGCAGAAGTCTCCTGAGGGTTCCAGGGTCGCACAGCTGCTGGCTACTGCAGAGGGGGGTTTCCACCAACATGCTCAGTCCCAGTGGCCTGACTCTAAGAGAGGCCTCGGCCAGGCAGATCATGGGCCCCTTTCCCCACTCATCGATGTGTGCACGTGGCCTGTGGCTTCACCTGGGGGAGCCTCTTTCTCTCTTTGGTGGGCACAGAGCAGAGGGCACAGAGGGAGACAGTGGAGGTCTCGCCATCACCAGAAGGCAAGAGGGCACCTCTGTTCTCCACCCTCATCACTGCCCCAGGCACACCAGTGGGCCCCTCTGACCCTCACATGGCCCCCAGGCAGCCCATGTCACCAAAGGCTCAGAGAGGACAGTGCCCTAGCCTGAGGCCACACAGCTGCTGGGAGCAGGGCAGACTACAGAGGCTGCACTCCATCTGGGCTCTACCCACCCTCTCCACGTCCCACACCAGGCACACTGAAGGCCATGGAACATCAGAGGCCCGGCCAGCACAAGCTCCCCAGGGCCCATGCACATATGGAGGGGGCTCCAGGCTCTGAACCTGCTGGGACCCTTCTGGGAGCTGTGGGGCTCCTGACCCAGGAGGAGAGCAATGGTGTTTTGCCATGGCTGAGGGCTCCCCAGGACTCCCCCAGCAGCTGAAACAGTATAGCAACAAGCAGCAGAACCCTGCCCCTCCCAGCACAGATGGGGAGATGGAGGCCTGCAGGGAAGCTGCGATCCTGGCTCAGCGCTCCTCCCACCACATCCACTCACTAAAAGCTGGAAAGGATGGGGGGCCCCACATCCTGCTCTGGCCACCAGGAAGTCACCCTGACCAGGGCCAGGACTCACACTCCTCCATCCCAGGCCCCAGTCCTGGCAGACCAAGGTCACAGGTCTCAGGCCAGAGGTATGTGGGGACACCAGATCCAAGAGTTCCCAGTCTACACCAACGCCACCTCTGACGCTACCTCCAGCCCATCTGTGCCAGGATGCTAGGAAAGTGTCCACCTCCGGGGGTCAGGCCCAGAGAGGGTCAGCTCCTGCCTGAGGCCACAGAGCAAATTAGTGCTGTGGGCAGAGCTGGGAGACAGGCAAGACCCTGGGCAGGTGGGGGGCTGCCCAGGGGCACCGAGGGAAACACGGGGCTGCAGAGGAGGCCAAGCCCATGTGGTCAGTTTCTTTATTGAGGCCACAGACCGTAGCACAGGTCCCTGCTGTCCACGTGCCCCTTGCGGGGACAGGAGGCCCCTTCCTGAGTCCATGTCCCAGTGCTGGGTCTGGGCCAGCCCACAGCCCCATGGGCCACTCACTGGGACGTGCTGCTTTTGCTTTTTGATGACCAGATCTTGGACAAGCGGAACTTGGACTTCTTCCTCTGGAGGTCTAGAGGATGGGTGGACAGCAAGGCCACACTCATCACAGCACGGCCACGGCCCACACAAATCCCCCTGCAGGAAACGTCCTTCCCTTCCACTGGCCACAGTCCTCCTGGGGCCTCAGAGCCTGCAGGAAGCCCTGTGCCCTCCTGCATGAGCACCTGCATGAGCTCCAGAGGGCTGGTCCCCACCATGACCACATGGTTACCAGCTGCCCCCTGGCCCTCTCAATGGCAGGAGGGAGCTCTCACCCTCAGAGTGAACCTGCCCATCCAGTCACCAAGGCTGAGCAGGGCCCCAGCACCACCACCCCAGCAGGAGTCCCGGCCCACCCAGCCAGCCCACCTAGCCCCCAACACCCCCGGCCCAGTCACCCAGCTTCTCAATCATGTCCTGCAGCATCTGGTCTTCTTCTTGTTCCCTGAAACGAGACCAGATTGGTCGTGAGCGACAGCAACAATGGGGACGTGCTCTGGAGGGGCCCATGGACAGTCTCCAGCCAACCTCACCCCAGCCCCGAGCTCCGCCTAGTCCCATGATACCTGGCCCGGGAGCCTGCTCCCACAGATGCCAGGTCCCTGCCCTCTCCAGGGCCAGCCCCTCAGCAGTGACCTGGGACAGGAGGGCCTGGGCTGACCACACCAGTGACCTGGACAGAAGGGCCCTGGCCTGACCCATGCCAAGGCCCCTTCACGCTCACAGAGGGGCTCACAGATGTGGGCTCCAGCTGCCGACCTGTGTGCCATGCCCGGGACCCCCATGAGATGAGACAGGAAAGCCATTGGTCATACACAGCCCTTGCAGCAGACAGGAGACACATGTGGCCTCAGAAGTCTATGTTAAAAAATAAGACTTTATGGCCAGGCGCAGTGGCTCATACCTGTAATCCCACCACTTTAGGAGGCCAAGGTGGGTGGATCACGAAGTCAGGAATTTGAGACCAGCCTGGCCAACATGGTGAAACCCTGTCTCTACTAAAAATACAAAAAATTAGCCGGGTGTGGTGGCACAAGACTGTAATCCCAGCTACTCGGGAGGCTGAGGCAGGAGAATTGCTTGAACATGGCAGATGGAGGTTGCAGTGAGCCAAGATCATGCCACTGCACTCCAGCCTGGGTAACAAGACAGAAACTAAAAAAAAAAAAAGGAATTAACTGGGTGTGGTGGTGGATGCCTGTAATCCCAGCTACTGGGGAAGCTAAGGCAACAAAATAACTTGAACTTGGAAGGTGGAGATTGCAATGAGCCAAGATCTCACCGTTGTATTCCAGCCTGGGTGACAGAACAAGACTGTCTCAAAAAAAATACAAAAAAAAAAGCGGGACTTTTAAAAGTTCCTTGGCTGGGTGTGGTGGCTCACACCTGTAATCCCAGCACTTTAGGAGGCCAATGTGGGCAGATCACAAGGTCAGGCGTTCAAGGCCAGCCTGGCCAACATGGTGAAACCTTGTCTCTACCAAAAATACAAAAATTATCTGGGCATGAAGGTGGCCACCTATAGTCTCAGCTACTCAGGGGGCTGAGGCAGGAGAATTGCTGGAACCTGGGAGGTGGAGGTTGCAGTTAGCCAAGATGGCACCACTGTACTCTAGCCCAAGTGACAGAACCAGACTCCACCTAAAAAAAAAAAAAAAATTCCTGATGGCCACGTGTGCCCCTGGCTGCTGCACCGGACGGCACAGACAACAACCACTCTGGACAGAAAGTTCCACGGGATCGGCTGACCCTGAAGGCTGGGAGCATGGACCAGACGACCAGTCCTGGCCTGAGTGGGAGGGGCCTGACCCCAGCCCCGTGTTCCTGGGGCACCTGCCCCTCACCGGAGCCGGTCCTCGTCCAGCGAGTCCACGATGTCACTGCGATCATTCACGGTGCTCACATACCGCTCCAGCAGCTCCTGCTCCCGACGCCGCTCCTGGGGTGACTTCAGAGCCTCTGCGGGGACAGCTCTGTCAGCGGGAGCCCCTCCATGCCCCTACAGAACACAGTGTCCCCACCACCCAAGCACCAGGCTCCTCTTTTGGAGGAGGAAGGTGGGGTCTTAGGGGCACCTGGAGCAGAGGAAGGAGGGAGGGAGGGAGGGAGGGAAGGAGGGAGTGGGGAAGGAGGGAGGGAGGGAGGGAGGGAGGGAGGGAGGTCAGCCCAAGTGCTGGGGCCCTTCCCCATCATCTCCCAAAAACAACACTTGCCGTAGAGATGTGGAAACTAAGGCTCAGGGCGTTGCTGTCCCCAGCCCCAGAGCAAGGAAAGGGCAGAGGCGGGATGGCCAGGGCCTGCACCCTTAGCCAGGGCACCCAGCATCACAAGTCATGCCCACAGCTCACCCTGACTGCTGCTGCACTAAACGCCTTACACAAATTGATGCGTTTCATCCTCACAACAGCTGTGTGAGGTGAATGCGTCTAGCATCCTCATTCTGCAGGGGCCGAATCCAAGCACAGCAAGGCTAAGTGCCTCAGCTGAGGATACACAGCCAGGAGGCTGGGGAGCTGAAACTCAAACCTGGGCCTGAGTGGCTCAGGGGCAGGTCTCACCACCAGGACAGCCAGGTGGCCTCGCAGAGCCTGCCCCCAGGCACCCTGAGCTCTGCTGCATCCCCGGCTGGGGCCCCTTAGCAGGCAGGTTGGGGACGCACCGGGCTTGGCCATGAGCCGGCGCAGCTCCCCCTCGATGTCCTGCTGCTGCTCCTCCAGACGCTGTGCCTTGGACCTGCCGCAGAGACACGTGTCTGAGGCTGACCCCGCTGCCCCTGTCCACTCCCTGGCCCGCCCAGCCCACGATGAGGGTCTGGACCTGAGGCCTGCCTCATCCCCCAAGTCTGAGGCCTGACTCTGCTGCCCCATTCCCGTCCACCCCGCTCAGCCTGCAATGAGGGCCTGGACACGCCATACAGACACACGTCTGAGGCCTCACCCTGCCACCCCGTCCCCCGGCAACACAGGCCTGGCCTTCGAGGACGGGCCCGAGGCTGGGCTCTCACTTGTACATCAGCTCTGACTCCTGTCTCAGCAGAAGCTGCTTCTTGTGAATGAGCCAGAACCAGTCCACCATGAGGCCATCTTCAGTGTTATCTGGGGAGAGGAGCCAGCTGGGGCAGGGGGCCCACCAGGGTTCTCGGCCCCTGGCCCCAGAGTCGAGGGTGTCTGTGGGAGTAAGGGTGCCCCAGGGCCAGGCCCAGGTGCTCACCTCCCTCAGCTGCCCGCAGCCGCTTCTCCAGCTCCACACCACGAAGCTCCAGGGTGTCCAGCTGCCTCTCAATGTCCTGCAGCTGCCTCTGGATCTCCTCCGGGGGGAGGTAGTCGGGGTGCAGCTGGGGATGAAGGGGTGGTGAGGATGCCGGAGGGCTGGGGCCCTGCCCAGCTCCCCACTGCTACTCACCCTGACCGGGGAGGTCGCCGTCTCGCCAAGTGGAGCAAGAACATTGACTGAGCACAAAGGTCTCCCTGGAGAAGGGGCAGGGTGAGCCTCCAGGCCTTGGCCACCAGGCCCAACTCCACCAGGACACCACTTGGAAGGAGCCTGCCCTTGGCACAACTGGCCCCAGCCCTGCCTCCCTATTGCCCCACATACCCACTGGCTGCCCTGCCACAGCCCCACAGACACATGAGTAGCCCAGAGACCCATCCCCACCTTGCACCCTGCCCTCCTCCAGGTCAGCAACACCCCGGCCACCCTAGTCCCTCAAGCGGCCAGAAGCAGACACCATCATGATCAGGTGTCTGTGACAAGGTGCTCTAAGGCAGGTGGGGTTTCTTATTCATGAGGGTGGGCCCGGGGCATGGGGCTGGGTCCTTCCTCCAGGCTTTCCGTCCATTCTAGGCTCTGTGAGCTCCAATGCATCCTCCAAAGCCCCAGCAGGCACTGCCTCCTCAGAGGAAGGCTCCCTTCACCCACACCCCAAACGGCAGCGGTATCTCTGGGGCTGACCTGGTTTGCCCTGAGGATGGGGTTTCTTCTCTTCCTCCTTCCAGCTCTGCACTGGGGCTTCCTCTCCAGGCGGCTCCGAGTGAAGCCAGTTGTCAGAAACGTGGAGGCTGGCAGGGACGGCCAGTTTCCTGCGGCAAGGTGGGGAGGGGGACCTGGCTGCCCCCAGGTGGAGGGAAAGAGCCATGCGTTAGAACAGGGCTGCCGAGAGCCTGGGGTCTGCCCTAGCACAGCCCACAGCTGACTGGGTAGCCTGGCCCTCCCTGTGCCCTGGACCTCCCTGGCTGGCACAGGGTTGGCCTCACAGACCTAAACCCACGTCCTGCCCAGCCTGACCACGTCCACCCAGGGGGCTGCTGGCTGCTCAAGGTCACATGGGAAGTGACACAAGAGCCGGACCTGGATCCGGGGAGGTTTGAGTGCTAGGAACACACACACACACACACACACACACACACACACACACACACCACATGGGTGAACATACGCACACAGACCTGCCCAGGACCACCAGCTCCTCTGGCTGACCAGGCTCCTCCTCACACACCCCAGGAGGTGGCACTACAGGTCCAGCCCTGGGACCCCCACCCAAGGGGGAAGGCCAGCTGGGCACCTGGGGCCCCTGGGTCCCATCCAGCAGTACCTAGGAGGCTGGGTCCTGGGCTGGCTGGGCTCGGCGTCCTGTCAGGCCTCACGGGGGTCAGGGTGATGTGCACGCTCCCCACGAAGCTACCTGAGACCTTCCTGGGGGCCTCCCCCGCCCTCGGCTCTGCCAGGGCATGTGGCTCCTTGGGCTTCAGAGTCCTGGGAAGAAGGCAGGAGGTCGGAACCTGAACCGGAGCCGGAGGGCTCCCAGGCCATGTGCAGACCAGCTGAAGGGAGCAGGCGGCCTTCTGAGCAAACGCCACATCCCAGCCCACCAACTACACCTGCTGGACTCTCCTGCAATCCCGGGTGTGTCCACCACCACCTACTGTGGTGTAAGCAAAACTCCAGGTATGAGCTCAGGACCCCACAGGACCCACACATGGGGAGACTCCACCCCAGCTGCAGACATGCTGTGTGAACACACACGTGTGCTGCAGTGCCCAGATGCGACACGCAGCAAGGCTGCCCCCAAACCAGGACAGCGACCCCAGTGTCTGCTACTCACAGGGAGGTTCGTCCATTCCTAGATGGGCATGTCAATTGGTCAGTTACATACTCACTGCATTTATTAAGTGCCTATAGGGTACCGGGAGCCAGCCCCACCTGCCCCTAACCTCTCAGCTGGGTTTCTTCCATCCACAGGCTTCAGGTTCGCTCTCCACCCTGCCGGCCCATCCTCCTTGCCTTCCTGGCTGCTGTTGCTCAGGTCTGGGTGAGAAGCAAGGGGTCAGGGCGTGAGGAAGGAGTGCTGGGAATGGGGTGTCTGCAGGGATGGCTGCGCCTCCCCCTGCCATCTTCCCACAGCCACTCCATCCTCAGACACCCGCACTGCCAGCTGGCCCGTAGGCATCAGGAGCACCAGGCAGGGAGTCAGGGGAGGGGGCTCCCAGCTGGGCCTCCCCTGCTGTGTCCCTGGGGGAATCGCTCCCTATCCCTGGACCTCAACCTCCGCTTCTGCCAAATGGATGGGAACATGACAGGATGAGCCCCATGGACTCTGATCCTCTGCTGCACAGCGGGAACAGCTGAGCCACAGCTGCCCGTCTGCAGGCTTTCCTAGCTTCTGGGTCCTGTCCAGCAGGCACATGTGTGAACCCAGGTCTAGCAGGACCCAGGGCGTGGCTTTAATAATGAGAACTCGGCCGAAGGAAAGAATCTGGAAAAACCTTTTACAGCCCAGCATGTTCTCTGAGCCCAGCTAGATAAAGCCACCGGAAACTCTTAAGATTCCCCCCAGGTGCTTAGAAAAAAGCTAGCTCCCCATTCCCAAAACACGTGAGGCCATGAAACAGGATTGTGTGGTCCCAGGGGCCCCAGTCCAGGCCTGGGAGGCACCAGAGCTCTCAGGGCACATGGTGCCATCACCAGGACGCCAGCGGGGGTATGGAGCACAGGGCACCATCACCAGGACGCCAGCGGGGGGGATGGGGCACAAGGAGCCTTCACTGGAACACCACTGTGGGGACGGGACCCAGGGTGCCATCTCTGGTATGTGGTGACAGAGTGCTGTAGCAACAGTGCAGTGTTGTCAAAGCAACTGGCAGGAGACCCCACAGACCACGGCAAAGCCAGGCCACTGCAAGCCGCCAGGTGTCACTGCCAAACTGCGCTGAGTGGGGCACTGTAGGTATCAGCAGGACGTGCGGATGAGGAGGGTTGGGCAACAGCGCCCGGCAAACAGCATAGCCCTCAGGACGCTTGCAGCCACCACACAGAGAGCGCCAGGACCCCAGGAGGCTGTGTGCAGGTGTCATGGAGAACAGAGTCAGAGACAGAGAGGAGGATGTTGGGGCTAGCGGTGAAACAACACACTCTGCAGAGTTCAGCCAGGAGAGACTCCCAGAGCTTCGGCCCCAGTGGCCTCCTGCACCCCAGCCGCTTGCCCTCCTGCATTAAAGGGGGTGCTTACCCTTTGCCATTGGGGCCTCTGGCTTCAGCCTGGAGCCAGAACCCACCCTGCTGACCCCCAAGGATTCAGCCAAGCTCCTCCTGCCTGCTGAGGGCAATGCAGGTGCCCGAGCGGAGCTTCCCATGCTCAGGGGGGCTGGTAGTTCCATCCTCAAAGGGGGGCCAAGGGGCTGGGGAGATGCGGACTGTGACGGCTTGGCTAAGGGACTTGCTTGTGGAGCTTTGATTTTAGGCTGAGAACTGGGAGCAGGGGCGGTGGCTATGGAGGACCTGTAAGTAAAAGAGCATGTATCAGGCATAGCTAGATCCAGGCACCCTCCTACCTTCACCCCATGCTGCCCTTCCGCCTCCCCAGCAGCCTGCACCCAATGCCCAACCTCTGGACAGAGTCCCACCATCACCCCAGGCCACCCTCGACCTCCCACCATCGCTCCAGGTTGCCTCTCTGACTCCCCTACTGCTGCCCCAGGCTGCCCTCTGCCTCCCTGAAGGCTCAGAATGCCCAGCCTCCAAACGCAGGACGAACCACCCTGGCAAGGGATGGCCTAGTGTGGCTGATTTTACCCTCCTGTGAAATCTGGTGTTGGCTAAGATTAAAATATCTAACCCCTAAACAAACCCTATACTCAGGCTAGGAGCACCTGGGGCTTTGCCAGAACCTGGGCTGGCCTAGGCTGCCAGGTTCAGTTGTATGTGACACAAGTCTCTACCGCCCGCCAGACACAAGGCCTTTGTGCCTTCCTGCCTTTCCCCAGGCACATGCCGGGAGTGAGGCTGCCAGAGCCTGGGGTAGGGACACCACGCACCTCCCCAAGCCTGAGGCAGCACCTCCATGTTCCCATCCCCCTCGCCAACCAGTTCCCCTCTCCCCTTCCCCTATTCTGGGCTCAGGGGTGACCAGGCTGGCTTCCCAAGAGGAGCTGGCCTCCCCCCAGCCACACACGCCCCTCCCCCACCACCCAGGAAGCACTCCCTGGAACGCCCTCCACACTCATCCGCAGCCCCTAGGATGCCCTGGACACCCCCAATGCCAGGAGGGGCAGAGCAACCTAGCTCTCCTCCCGCCTGTGACCACCCTGAAGGTCCTGGGCACCCACCGCTGCAGGGCAGGCGGCAGTTCTGAGTGGGGGACCCTGCATCCACCATATGGGGAAGCAAACGCTGTTGTCAGCCACGCTGCAATGAGCTCACTTGCTACGTCACTGTACTTGGTTGAATGGTGACCCCTAAAATTCACATCCCCTGGGAAACTCAGAGGGGAACCTTATCTGTAAACGGTCTTTGCAGCTATAATCCTATTAAGATGCACTCACGCTGGGTTAGGGTGGACCCTAGTCCAGTGACCAGTGTCCTTAGGAGAGACAAGAGGGAAGACAGACAGACAGAAGGCCACGTGGAGACGGAGCAGAGACTGGAGGGAGGCAGCCACAAGCCAAGAACACCCTGGGCTGCCGGGAGCTGCAAGAGAAAGGACAGGTCCTCCCCTAGTGCCCTGAGAGGGGGCTCGGCCCTGCCCATGCCTCGACATTGGACTTCTGGCCTGTAGAGCTGTGAGGGGTGGATTTCTGCTGTGTAAGCCGCCCAGTGCAGGGGTCTTTGGAAACTGACGAAGCATCCCCTCTATCTGTCTGCATCCTCTGCCCAGGGTCCAGGCACGGGCAGGCACGGAGACCAGGCATGGAAGGTTGGAGCCCAGCTGGACCCAATCAGACAAGGTGACGCTCAGACCAGCCAGTGTGGGTCCTGCTCACAACCTGCCCCCGCATCCGTGAACTGGGTGTAGGGTCTTTGGGTTCCACGGGAGTGCTGCACAATGGGCCCCGGAGCAGCAGTGCCACCGTTACCCGCCCTGAGCATGTGCAGACAGCAGCTTTTCCACAATAACTCATCTTCCACTGCCCTAACCACAGGCACTGCCACCCCAACTCCTCCCCATTCCCCAGAGGAGGAAACTGGGCCTGGGGGAAGTGCCATCCCTAGCGTCATGCAGCAAGGGAGGGGCAGTGCCCCCAACCCCTCTGGTCTCCCAGGGCCCTGCTGTCTGGTGCATAGAGGCCGCACTCCCGGGGTCCCTCAGTCCTTGAGCCACCCACCTGCCAGGTGCTGGAGCACCAGCCTCTTCCAGCGCCTTACTGAGAAAGCTCCGCGCCTGCTCCTTGCCGCTGTCCCTGGATGGAGCAAGTGACGACGGAGCGGGACCCCTGCCAGCAAGGCTGGTGCTGCGGGACACTGCTGGTGTCTGGAAGAACTTATTCCGGGCCTGCTGGGTCCTCGAGGCCGACAGGGTCCAGGCTGGTGGGTCCACCGGGGCTGCAGACATGGAGCTTGAACCAAGTGTGATTTGAGAAGCTGCCACTCGGGGGGTTTCCCCACCCCGAGGCGTGGCCGGGTGAGGGTCTGGGGCACTTGAGGGCACAGCAGGACGGGAGGCAGCCACTGCTGTGCGCTGGGCAGCTGACGACCAGCCCATCGGAGAGCTGTTGGTCACACGAGTGTGGACTTTGCCCTCCATGGGTGTAGGGGCCAGGTGGCTCTCAGAGGGCCTGGCCGGGCTCCTCATGTGGATAGGTGCAGCGCTAGCGGCTAAAGGGTTGGGTGCAGCCGGAACAGAAGCCCTGGCAGGCGGGTTCTGCACAGCAGGCTCCTGGGCTGGTGGTATGGCCTTGGGCGTGTTCGCCTCCTGGGCCTTCTGTGGGGAACAGGGGGTTCTGGAATCTACAGGCATGGCCCCTGGCCTTCTGGGGGCCAGACCCGGCAACTTGGGGCTTGCAGAGGCAGCCTTGGGATGGTGGCTGGTGCAGACAAAGGCGCCTGGCTCTCCTGTGGCCTTGTAGGCCCCCGAATGCAGCGTGCAGGAACACTGCTTGCACCTGGGGAAGAAAGTCACAGGAGCCCGGCTCAGCACCCACCTGCCCACTCCACCCTGCCTTCACCATGCACTCCCAAGGGCAGGCATTGTAGACTCTTGTGTCCACTGGCAAGGTCGCTGATTCATTCAACAAGTGCCTCTTCTCAGGCTCAAAACCACTTGAGTCACAGACCCCACCGAAAACCTCGTTTGGGGTGCAGACCCCAGAGGGTGCTCCTGCATACCAGCAGACATGCACATGCAGGCCGCCCTGGGCCCCACTTTGGGACCCACCCACCCCAGCCTCTCAGAGTAGGGGATGGAACTAGGAGGGACCAACCCACCCTAGCCTTGCAGAGCTGGGGACAGAAGTAGGGGAACTGCATTTGTCCTCTAGGAGCCCTGACCCAGGGTGCAGGGTGGCAGGGAGGGGCTGGGGATGGCCACTGAGTCAAACACCACAGTGGGAAGGGCAGAGGCACAGGAGGGAGACTGAGGCACTGTGTGGAAGAACAGCCAGAAAGGCATTTCCTAGGGGATGCTGGAAGACACTGGAGCTTAGTAAGAAGTGTCAGGTCCTGGGTGTCTGGGAACAGCGGAGCATCTTCAGCTAAAGCAACAGAAGGGGAGGAGGGGGAAGGTGGAGGAGGGAGAGGAAGAAGAGCTATAGAGGAGGAGAGTGAGGGGGGAGGAGGAGGGGGAGGATGGAGGAGAGGGTAAGGAGGAAGAGGAGAATAAGGAAGGGAGGAGGGAGAGGAGGAAGAAGAGGAGGGGAAGGAAAGTGAGGGGGAGAAAGGGAAGGAGGGGGAGGAGTAAGAAGGGGAGGAGGGGAGGGAGAGGAGGAAGAGGAGGGGGAGGAGGGGGAGAGGAGGGGGAGAGGAGGAAGGGGGAGGGAGAGAGGAGGAGGGAGAGGATGGGGAGGAAGAGGGGGAAGAAAGTGAGGTAGAAACGGAGAGAAGGAAAGGAAAGGGGGAGGAGGGGTAGGAGAGGAGGGAGAGAAGGGAGGGTGGGAAGGAGGAAGGAGAGGAGAAAGAAGATAGGGAGAAAAGTAATGGGGAGAAAAGTGAGGGAAAGAAAGGGGAGGAGAGGGAGGAGGGGAAAGGGAGGAGGAAGAAAAGGATGAAAGAGAGGAGAAAGAGGAGGAGGAGTGGGAGGAAAGTAAGGGGAAGAAAGGGGAGGAGGGGAAGGAGAAGGGGAGGATGAGGCCAGGTGGGAGTGGACGGAAGCCATGGGACGGTTCTGGGAGGGGCGGTGCACACTCACGCGCAGGCGGAGGCGGCCCCACCTGAAGCAGCTTCGATGGTAGAGCCTCCCGTCCGCCAGGTGCCGCTGCACCAGGTGGACGTGCTTGCCGCAGACCCCACAGGTGCTGCTGACCGAGCTGCCGGCCAATGCCTGGCCCTGCGGAAGAGGCCAGCACCTTTCTGAGTGGTCGCCCACCCAGACCTCCCTCCTGGCGGCAACCTACAGGCAGCCAAAGAGCCCATTATACAGCCAGAAAACTGGCAGGGAGAGGAGCCAGCAGGCTGCAGTCAGGCTCACACCTGGGCAGCCTCTAGCCCAGCCCTGGGGAGGGAGCTAGTGGTCCTTTGGTGGGGGTGGGGGCCAGGGGACAGATTCCAGGCCTCCTGCCCCATCTAGGGGCATGGATCCCATCCAATTCCCATCATCCTGGGAGCCTGAAGTGGTGGTCCAGGGGCAGCTGGAGGTGCCCATCACCAGTCATTCCCCCACTGCCTTCCACCCCAACTCCACTTCTGAGAAGTGGGGTTGCCTGGGTTCACTCTGCAAAGTCAGCCTGGGGTACAGGGCATACCTCAGCAACCCTTCTCTCCCCGGGAGGGAGGCAGCCTGGGCCCATCTAGGTTCAAGCTCTGTCCCACCTTTGTGCCCTCCTTGGACTCAGTTTACCCACCTGTACAAAGTGGGGTCACAAACCCTGGCTTGACAGAGCCCCGGAGAACCAGTCCTGGTGGCTCTTGCTAAGACCAAGCCCTGTGCTGGGGAAGCGACACCCCCCACCTCCAGGTCCCGTGGCTTAGGAGCTCCACCTAGTCCCATGGACCCCGCTGCACCCGCCAGTGGAAAACCCAGGGAACCAGGGGAGGGCGGGCTGGGAGCTTACAGTCTTGGAGGGCGGGCCCTCTGTGACCCCATTCCTCCTCTGGACCACAGAGTTTGTCTGGGCTGGAGACAGTGGAGGCTTCTGGGCTGGGGAGGGTGAGGGTAGCTTGGCCGAGTGGGCTGGAGCCTTCTTCCCTGACGGCTCCTCCTCGGAGTCCTCCAAGGCCCTCTTCACGCCTGCCATGCCCCCAACTGGCAGGAAACAAGCAGGGGTCGGGAGGGTCTCAGCCCAGGCTCTGAAAGGGTCTGGGTCCCTCCAGAGGTTCCAGTGCCCAGCACAGGCCTTGGTGCCCGGGGCGGGGGGGACTTGGGGGGCCCGAACTGGGGGAGAGGCAGCCCCAAGGACACATTTTTTCCCGGCACAGCCCCGGGCTGGCCCCCACCCCTCCCCTCCCCACTCAGAGACCCAGCTGGGGTCAGGGAAAAGGGACTTTTCAGCTTCTCCAGCAAGCGGAGCAGGCCCTGTGCCCAGAATGACTCCAGGGATTTCTAAAGTCTAGAAGAGGAATGTGGGGGCGGGGGGCGGGGAGCTGAGCTCTGCACACACAAAGGCTGGGCCTATCCCTCTCCTGCCCAATTCTGTCCCGGGACCCCACCCTGCCAGGCCAACCCAGCTTCCATAGGGTCCAAAATCAGGATAGATGAAGGCAGGGCCGGGAACCATCCTGGTGGGCCAAACCACCCCCATGGGCATAGAAGCTCAGGGGTCCAGATGGGCAAACTGAGGCCCAGCAAGGGGTGAAGTGGCAGGGGCTGCTGGTACACCTGTGCCTCAGGGAAGCAGTGGGGCGGCTCAGCCTGCTCTGGGCAGGGGCCTGCATGAGCCGGGGCTTAGTGTCACCTGCAACAGGACAAGGGCCCCAGCCCCTCTCAGTGAAGACACAGGCTGGGGCTTTGCACAGGGACCCCAGCAAGGCCTCTTGCTGCTTCACAGCCAGTGTACAGCCCTGGTGCCCACACCGGTGGCTATTCGGAGGGGGGCTGGGAATGGACCCCAGGAGGTCCACAGGCCCAGGAGCCCTGAGGATGTTGGGGGCCAGTCCTGGTCCTGCCTGGCTGGGCGGACACAGCAGACTCACTGGGGGAGCGGCCGTGGAAGTAGTTGTAGTACTGGGACACGTAGGTCAGGATGCTCAGCCGGTCGGGCACCTTCAGGGCTACCATGTCCTCGGCATCCAGCAAGGCTGGGATGCCCAGGTGCTCCTCCGCCACACGGAAGGCCTGTGGGAAGCGGGAGGGGGTCAGCGGGGCAGCTGGGAGTCCCCTCCTCCTCCACCAGGCCCCAGCTCACCTCAATTCAAAGGGGCGGGTTCAAGGCCGGAGCTGGGCTCTGCTCTCATGGCCTCCCAGCCTCGGCTTACCCATTGGTGCAGTGGGGGTCATGGTCCCATCCGCACAGGACTGAGGTCACCAGGCCAGGGGGCACTCAAGGCCCTGCCCGGGAGAAACCTTGGGGGACCTGCCCTTTGCCAGGAGAATCACAAGCCCCACGCAACACAGACTTATTGGGTCTTTGAGCAGCTTACCCCCAGGGCAGGACTGACACCCACAGACCACTGAGCCCTTCCTGGGGCCAGAAGGGGACACAAAGGCAGCCATGTCCTGGAGTCCCAGGCAACAGGTTGGGGACACGGGAGGCTAAGACAGGGACACAAGACCCCCATGCTGTCCAGCCCAGCAGCGGCTGGCCAGGCATGGCTGTAAGCAAGGGCAATGTGGCTGGCATGCCCGAAGAACTGACCTTGTTTATTTATTTATTTATTTTCCTTTTTTTAAAAAAAAAAAAAAGACGGGGTTTCACTGTGTTGGTCAGGCTGGTCTTGAACTCCCGACCTCAGGTGATCCACCCACCTTGACCTCTAAAGTGCTTGGATTATAGGCGTGAGCCACCACGCCCAGCTTATTTATTTATTATTATTATTATTTTTTTTGGAGACAGAGTCTCACTCTGTTGCCCAGGTTAGAGTGCAGTCTTGGCTCACTGCAACCACCACCTTTCAGGTTCAGGCAATTCTCTGGCCTCAGCCTCCTGAGTAACTGCGATTACATGTGTGAGCCACCATGTTCAGCTAATTTTGTATTTTTAGTGGAAATGAGGTTTCACCGTGAACTTGTAATTTTAGTTCATTTTAATTAGGTTAAAGTTTACATTCAAATTGTCCCTGTGCTGAACAGGGCAGTGCTGGCCGGGCAGGTCTGACCGTGTCCTCAGTGCTGACCGCTGTCCCTGCTGAAGGCCAACTCCAGGGGCAAAGGCATGGGCTGGGCCTGCCTGGCATAGCACAGGACATGCCTTCGGGGCCAGAGGTGAGTACCAGTGCCTCCACCCACAAGGGAGTGTGGCACTTATTCTGAGGCAGGGAAACTGAGGCTGCACGCAGGGAAGGGCCCAGAAGCTGGGGAGGGCAGGGCAGGACTGGAATCCGGGCAGGGTTGGGAGGCAGGTCCCATGTGGTGAGGGTGGCAGCTGGCCCACCCGGAACCCACCCATGGCCCCCCACAGCCACCCCCAGACCTTTGCTCAGCCTGAGGTTGAGTTCCCCACAGTGAAGTAGGGTCCACAGCCACCTCCTGCCACCTTACTCCCCAACTGAGGAAAAGGGGATCAGTAAGTCCTAGGCTACAAGAAGCTGTTTCTAGAACGCTAGGGCCAGCCAGAGCAGGACTGGCTGCAGGGCTGGTTAGGAGCCCCCACTTCCCGGGCAGGAAGGTGCAGGGCCTGGGGGTCCCTCGGTCCCTCAGACATGGGTGGCGCTTGGGGCGGGCCGGCTTAGCCAGCTGTGAGGCCTGGGTTGGGAAGGCAGGATGAGGGCCAGTGGGGGAGCACTCACCAGTTTATTGTTTTCATAAATGTTTTCCTTCGTGAGAGCATTGAAGTTTCTGGAAAATGAAAACATGGTGTCTAAAGTAGCTCAGAGTCCTTAAAGCAAGGGACTGAAGGGCCTCAGAGATCATCTTGCCCAAATAGGGAAACTGAGGCCAGGAGGGGGGCTGTGAAGGAATGAGATCACACAGGGAACACAGGCACAGGCCAGGGCTCCCCACCCTGCTCCGGCCATGGTGATGCTGCCAGGATGGCGGTGCAGCCCCCTCGGTCCCCCCAGGCATCAGATGGCCCCAGCATTACCTCCTGTGTCCTGGACAGGCCGCCCCTCACCAGTGCTCCTGCCATAATCAGAGGTGGCAGGAAGCAGGCCAGGGAGGCGAGATTGCCAGCTCAGGGCGGCCCAGCACAGCTCAGCTCAGAGGGAGCCCGTCCCATCACAACGCTCGGTGACCAGATGGGTCACAGAGGCCCAATGTCCCTGGAGGACCACAGGGAATGGATGAGAGAGGCTCCTGAGGCAGGGGACAGCGCCATATGCAGGGAGGGTGGCCACGCTGCCCCCAAGGGCAGGACAGGCCCTGGAAGCGCTTTGTCCCACCTGTCATCACTTCTGTCGACCCTGAGGTGAAGGGTGGCCTTCTCAGTTCTTCACAAATAGCAACCTAAGGTTCACACCTGACCTGTGGAGCAGGCGCTGGTTATGTCTGCATCTCACAGAGAGGCTCAGGGACCTGCCCGAGGTCACACAGCAGGGAGATAGCAGTCAAGACCACCGAGGTTAGATGCTTCCCTCTTTGAGTGGTGGAGTGGCCTTCCTAGGTACTAGCAGGGGCCCAGCCTCACTAGGATGCAAGAGTCTCAGAAGTTCCCAAGGTGAAGTCCCCAGCCAGCCTGGACGGCAGGGCCCTCCTGGGGATGCCAAGAGGACAGCCCCACACAACCTCCAGGCTGGTCCTGGGACTCCTCGTGGGTACCTTGGGAAGATGCCCTGGGCAGAAAACACACCTAGATCCCACAAAGGAGGCCCCAGCCCAGCCCCGGGCTCCCAGCATGGCCTGCGGCTTCTGGGAGGGTTGGTTAAATAGGGATCTGGAAGCTGGGTACAGTGGCTCACGCCTGTAGTCCCAGCTACTCAGGAGGCCAAGGCAGAAGGATTGCTTGAGCCCAGGAATTCCATCAGCCTGGGCAACACAGTGAGACCCCATCTCAAAAAAAAATATGTAGTGATCATGACCCATCTGTCCACATTGCTGCCTGTGGGGTCCTGGACAGCAGCTGCTGCCACACCAGCTGAACTGGACTGTTCTAGAAGCTTCCTGGCCCCACAGAGGGAGCTGGAGCTGCAAGCTGTGTCCTACCTCCCCCAGGCACGCCCTCTCTTCTTATAGGGCCTCAGTGTCCCTGTCTGGAAGGACAACCACAGCTTCTGGTGCTGAATCTGACGGCCGTGGCTGCAGCCAACAGGAAGGCCGGGCAGGTCTCAAACGGAAAAGAGGGGGCTGAGACCTCTGTGGCCATGTGGCCTGGGCAGCCTTGCTCTGAGCCCAGCCTGCACAGCCCTTGCCCAGCCTTGACCCCCATAACAACACTCCAAGGCCCAGAGTGTGAGCCCATTTCACAGATGGGGAAACTGAGGCTGGGTGGAAGCCACACGGTGGGGCAGAGGGAGTGGGGTGGGGCTGTAGGTGGCCCACCTCCCTCCTTAGGAAGCCTCCAGCCCTCCCGTCCATCAATCTGCTATGCTCTGTGGGAACCCTCCACCGTTTCCAGCTTGGACCACCACCCAGTAACAGGTTCCAGATGACAGGACCGCCCCTCTGCACAGGCAGAGCTTCTGCGCACAGGACAAGAGGATGCACAATTTCTCTCCAGGTGGACGGATGACAAGGAGCCCCCTCCCTGGGCTCAGTGGCAGGGAAAGAGGTTTTCATCTCCTTGGGCCTGAGCCAATGCCTCTGTCTGCCTGGGCTTGTCCCCAGTTAGGGTGTGACCCAAGGGTACATGGGTGGCTGTCTATGCTCAACTCCCCCAAGACTCTGCAGCCATGCTGGGCCTCAACCTCAGCCTCCAGGGCTCAGGAGCCAGCTCTCCCGCCCTCTCTCCCTGTCCCCAGCCCTTTGAAAGCTCAAGCTCTTCTGCAGACATTCCCCAGGGTCACTGACCAAAATGGCCGTGTCACCAGAAAGAATGCTCTGGTGGCTGGGAGGGAGTGTTGCAAGTTCTGTTTTCCTCTAAACAAGCAGAAGGAGGCCATCTGCTCCCGCATTGGCTTCTGTCCACCCCAGGGTCCGGCAGTGGCTCTGTCCAGTGGGTTTCCCTGCAAGGCCATTTCATCCCCAGACCCAGAGTGAGGTTCTCAGAGCTCCAGGCAGATCAGGGACCTGAGGCCTTCCCGACTCATCAGAGCCAGTCCTCATGATGCACAGGTCCGGGCTCGTACTCAAGGACTGCAGCCTCAGGACCAGGTCCGAGCTGCATCCCAGGTATTTGAGGCCTCCTTAACTGGGCTGTACCACCCTGGCCAGTCCCACAGCCACCACCCATCCTGCCCCAAGCTCCTTCCCCAGCTGCCAGCCCTCCAGCCTCCAGACCATGGCTCCATGCCCCCGGCACAGAAAACCTTTTCCCATGCTGTGCCGGAGGCACCTGCCAGGCCCTCCTCAGAAGCACCTCACAGTTCCCAAGCTCACTTCCCCGGGGACCCTGAGCAGCTGAGCTCAGAGGCCCAATGACACTGGCAGAAATCACTGGCCAGAACCGCCTCACACGCCCCACCAAGATCGACAGGTGGAGACCCTACTTGTTTCTCCAGGAGCCCCCCTAAAAAATGACACATTGGCACCCTAACCTCCAGCTCCCCCATGTGACCTCATCTGGAGACAGGCTCTCTATGAGGGTAAGAGAATTCATTTTGTTTCCTTTGGAGATAACAGAATTCAAACCAGGTCTTTCACAGGGAGACCTGGACCAGTGACTGGTGTGCTCACAAAAGGGAAATGTGGCTACAGATGCACACTGAGAGGGAAGAGGGTGTGAAGGCATAGTGTGAAGGCAGCCACCCCCAGCCAAGGAGAGAGGCCGGGAAGACCAACCCTCCTGCCTCAGAGAGCCCAGCCCGGCCCACGCCTCCATCCAGGACTTTGGTCTACGGAACCAAGGGAGGTTACTTTCTGTTGCTGAAGCCCCCATTTGGGGGACTTTTTGAGGGCAGCTTGAGCAGACAGACACCTCTGGCCTTGTCAGACAAAAATGCATCAGCTCCCCCCAACTCGGCAGGTGAGATGGCCAGAACAGGGACGCGGCCCCAGCCACCATCACAAACCTGCAGGCTGATGGGCTAAGACCCAGTGCCCTCTGGAGTTTAACTTCCTCTTACCTGAAGCCTCAGAATTAAAATCAGGTATGCCAAGGGCTGGCTCTGAGGCACGCACCGTGGGGTCAGGCATGCAGTCGTTGCCCTATGAATGCCTGTGATGCATTTGCTCTGCACTTGGGGAGTGAGATTTCTATTCACCGAGTCTGTGTCAGTCACAAGATTCACCCTGAGCAACTCTCCACTGTGTGTGCCCCTGCCCAGCCATGCCTGCCCCTGCCACCCCCTCTAACCCACCCACGGCCATCAACTTCAGCCTGTGGAGTCCTGCCAGCCTCTGTCCCGGCGCCTCTGGGGGGGATTCTTGGGAATGTATACCCCCCTCCAAATTCCTGGGTGGCTGACCTCACACTGTTTATTTCCTGGAACAAGAGGCAGCCATGGAGTACGGGAGGTGGGGGGTGTGGAGCTTGGAAGGGAAGAGGCCCCTCCAAGGCACATCCAGCACACAGGAGAGAATTCCATGGAGAAGAGGAGCAAAGGCAGGCAGACGGACAGACAGAGCTGGAAACAGAGACGAAGACCCCGGCGGAGATGGTGGAGGGAGGCCCAAGAGAGATGGACCAGATGGCACAAGGGATGGAGCGAACCTCAGAGACGTGAGGACATGGCCAGGCAGAGCTCAGGAGAGGAGTGGGTGGGCAGGGGGCGATGACAACTGGGGCAGGGGAGGCCCCAGAGCCCCCACCTTGCACCTCTGGAAGGAAGTGTGGGGCCCTGGACAGTCACCCTGCAGTAGGTGGACAGGCGGCCCCTCCCACACCCATCCTGGAGGGTTCTGGCCAGTGGTGGCCGCAGGGGTCTGGCTACAGGCCCTGGGGCAGGAACAGAAGGCCTCTGTCCACAAGCAGCTTCCTGCTGACCCAGCCCTGAGTGGGAGGGGAGGTCAGCCCACCCTTGGCTCTGGTGCAGGATTCGAGGGCACTGCCTGGGAGCATCTGGGTGGGGGCCGCTGCGTGAGTCTCTCCCCTGGCCCCTGACAATGGGAGTGTCTCTGGGAGCCCTGCCACCCTAGGGAGCCACTGCCTGAGGACTCCATGGCCCACACAGTGGCCAGCCCAGCCACTCCACTTCCTGGCCCAGCCCTGCGCCGGCCTCCAGAGCTGCCAGGACCAGGAGAAAGTTCAAGGGACCCTGCCCTGGCACAGAGGGTGCAGCAGAGACCCAAACCACGACACCCTCCCCAGACCTGGCCACACGTCCGACAAATGCCCCCAGTCACAACCCCCAAGAAAGAGGCCAGCAATGTTCTCCCACCCGCCAGACAGCTTCCTGTGCCACGAACAACACCTGCCCTCTCTCCAGCCCTACTCTCTCCCAGCCCAGAGAGGCTGTGCCCCCTGTCCCATCTGCCCAAGGGCTGTGCCTGGAGACCTGCCTGAGCCCAGGAGTAAGGAGCCAGCCCATGGCAGAGCCACTCTGGCCCAACAGGCTCAATGCCCAAGGGAGGCAAGGTGGGAGGTGGGACTGTTTGTTCTGGGTGGTTTCTGAGCTCACCTGGCCGCCTGGCTGCCCTGTGTCACCAGTATGGAAACAGTGCCTGGGGGCAGGCGCCCTGAGGCCTGGCAACAGAGGACCCACAGCCACAGGGCGGGCAGACATGGGCAGGGTGACCAGGCAGGGGGCCCATCCACCCTGCCACCTCCTGGTGAGTGTGGCTGGGTGATCCTGTTTCCCGGC